AGTGGCGTGTGGCTCCAGCGGGTGCCGCCTCAGCCCAGAGGACCTCCATGGTGACCGCGTCGATGTTGTCGTCCGCCATGGACAGGCTTTATGTGCCCGTGCACAGGCAGGACGAGGAGCTCCAGAATTATCCGACCCTCCTGAACCGCGAGGATAATCGCCTCGTTGAGAGAGTGGATAGCTTCTTGGACATTTCTTCGAACCGGTCCATGCAGCTCGTCAACGACCCAAGGTTCATGGCCACCAACATCATCGATAAGCGGCTTGGCGCTTTTGACAAGATGGGTGTCATATCTGGGCTGCTGACTGGCACTGCGCTTGAAGCTTGCTTCCGCCTGACCAAAGATCTAAACTTCGGGATCTGTGTGCCTGCTGAAGCTCACACGGTGGTCGAAAGCATCGTCCAGCTGGTGTCCTTCGTGATCATGTCTTCTATTTTATTCATGAGCCTCTACTCTACCTTGGTGAGTGTGTACCAGGCATACTACACCTACCGCCTCATGACGGCTGGGGCGAACGGGTTTGAGCTTGCCAGGACTTTTTATTTGGACCCAGTCATGGTCAAGAAGCGGCACCGGGCAGTGAAGCTGCTGGGTTGGGGCTTGCTGTTGCTCATGATTTCGTCGGGAGGAATGCTTTACACGAAATTCTCGAAGGAGGGAGACTTCTTGGACTCGGCAGCCGACTCCTCTGGTCCGTCCGCGGGCCTGATCGACTGCATGAAGGTACATTGGATATTCCAAATCGTTAATCCTCTTGGCCTGGTCACGTTCGTTGGTTTCGCATGGGGCTCAGTGTTCCTGTACTACAAAGTTGTTCACCGTCACAAAATTCTCTTCGACAGGCTTTACGCCAAAGTATATATCGACGAGATGCCGCAGCACGGCCCTTCAGGGCACGAGGGCAGCAGCTTCTGGAACAGCCGCAACGATTGGAGCTCCCACATGGATCGCGTGGGTAGGACCAAGCCGAGGGAATCTGGTACAGATGGCCGAGTCCCCTCTGGGCGCAAGGAGCAGCAGTGCGCCTTTATGTGAGCAGGTGAGTACCCGATGTTCTCTTGCAGCAGCTGTGGCCGCACGACCGTGCCTGCCTCATGCGAGTAGCTAGCTAAGCGCGCACGCAGGCGCAGCAAGTCGCCCGAGCAAGTCGCCCGTTGCTCGCTTGCGCGCGTGTGTGTATATGTGTGTGTGTGTGTGTGGGTGCACGTCCAGGCACGGAGGGTCCACATTCTTCGAAGTGGAGGTTGGGATGTCCAGTCGTAAGTCGGGCCTGTCCCTCTATAGGAGGAATATTCAGAAATAGTCAGAAATAATATGGGGATCATTTTTTCAGCATTCTTTAGAATATTATCGAAGATTCTTTGCAGGGGGGCATGCCCGACCTGAATCCACCTGTGGGGAACATGTCCGATCTAAATCCAGTCAGATGTTGGCTTCAGTCTGGATGTCAAACCACCCATGTGGAACGTGTTCGACCCTCAGGGGGGCGACGCCAAGGCGGGGCTCGCCAACGGGATGTGCGAGGCGGCACCGCCTCGAGGAGTGGCACATCCCCGAGTCCTTCTTGCCTGCTCGCAGTCGTCGATCCGAGGGAGAGCAGCGGGAGAGCAGCGCGGGGCCCCTGGGTTCTTGTGCGTCGCGTTGCTCAAGTTTCCGGGGCATGGAGGATGCCACCCCCTGGGTTACTGACTGGTGCAATGCGATGGGCCCACAGGGCCCGAAACATACAAACGCATCCACATTGGAAGTTCAAGCTTCCAGTTTGAAGGGTTGCTTTAGTTTTCGAGGGGTGGGATGACGGAGAAAAGAGAGGTCGGGGATGATGAAGATTGCCAGCTTCCTAGATGGGAACGGGATTCCATGGTATTAGAGCTGGCCAAATACAACGAGGAAGAGAGAGGCGATGACGACATCGACCAAGACGACCACGACGACGACAAAGCGGAGCAACATCACATGTCCGTGGCAATGTCCGTGCCCAGGGCCTCACACAGAGCGCAATGGAATGATCGTTCGAGGAGGAGGAGGAGGAGGAGGAGGAGGAGGAGGAGGAGGAGGAGGAGGTCGACGACGAGGCTGAGGAAAACTCAGCATACGGCAACTTCCCTGCACCGAGCCTTTCGTGGAGCGCAACGAGACGCCGTCCGACCCAGGTAGGAGGAGGAGGAGGAGGAATAGGAGGAGGAAAGGAGGAACAGGAGGAGGAAAGGAGGAGAGGAGGATGAGAGAGGAAGGAGGAGGAGAGAGGAGGAGGAGGAGGAGGTGAGGGGAGGAGGGGGAGGAAGAGGAGGGGGAGGAGAAGGAGGGGGAGTGATGAGGAGGAGGAGGAGGAGAAGGAGGAGAGGAAGATGAGGAGGAAGGAGGACGGAGGAGGAGGAGGGGAGGAGGAGGAGGAGAGGAGGAGGAGGATGAGAGGAGGAGGAGGAGGAGAGGAGGAGGAAGAAGAGGAGGGGGAGGAGAAGGAGGAGGAGGAAGAGAAGGAGGAGGAGGAGGAAGAAGAAGAAAAGGAAGAGGAGCAGGAGGAGGAGGAGAAGGAGGAGGAGGAAGATGAGCAGGAAGAGGAGGAGGAGGAGGAGAAGGAGGAGGAGGAGGAGGAAGAGGAGGGGGCAGACGGGATGCAGGGGCAGAGAGTTGAAGGGATTGAAGGATCTATGGCTCGTCCCAGAGGCTGCCTTGACCGTCGATGGCCTTTCCAAAGGCCCTTCAGAACCGTCTTGGGGGCCTCTCGGGCACCCTCTGGGGGCCTCCTGGGCATTCTTGAACTGTCTTTGAGCATCTTGCAGCTTTTCGGAACCTCCCTGGGGCCGTCCTGGCGTTCCCTCGAGGCTCCCTTTGGCTGTCTTTGGCCCCTGCGGAGGCCCTCTTCGGTCGTGTTCGTGCTCTCTTGGGGCCCTGTTGGCCCCTCGTGGGAACTTATTCGGGCGCTATTGAACCATCTCGAGGCCCTTTTAAGCGCTCCCGGAGCCATCTGGGCCGACAGCCGTAGGAAGCAAACATCATCAGATCATTATGTTCGTTTGGCTGTCGTGGCTGTCGGCCGCATCAAAGGACGCTCGGGTGGCCAGTCTGATAAACGTGGCTCCAGCCGCCCCGCCGTCGATCCCTCAGTATCGTTCGACCGTTCCCGTCCCGATCCCCACCATCCCACCGCCCCAGCTGGGGATGTGCCCCTCGAAACTCGAAGGGACCAGCCTCTATCATCATCCAGGGGGGTAGGTCGGCCGGTGGGGCCCAGGTCACGCCCGTGGGGACAGGGATCGGTTCAACGATGCTCAGACCCCGCTCTGGTGCCCCGAGGAGCCCCCTCGGTCGCGGATCCGTGCCAAGGCTGGCCTGGACGGCACGCTGCGCTTGCGACCCTGCCTTCGGCGTCACCCCGACATGCTAGAATCATATGTGCTTCGCCCCCCCCACCCCCAGGGGCGACGCGCGCACCGAGAAGTCTTATAGCGTGTGCGTCGTGGCTGGCGCTTCCTGGCCACGCCGCTCGGGAATCGATATGCTACAAGATGGGTATACTATATCTTCGGGTCGGACGCGCGCCTCCAAGGAGGACATATGGTATTAGTATGTCTCTATGCGTCCCATGCCTCGGCTCGGCCGCCAGCTCTGTCGGCGCACCCCGCCAGTCGCAGGCGCCTTTTTTGTCGGGCGCGCGCCTCGCGCAAAGACCCGAGGCAGTGCCCGCATGGCTGCAGCCGTCCATACGAGGCGCGCGCGTGTGAAAAGCGGGTGCTCGCGACGTGGCTCTCGTCAGAGGCGGAGAGCTAGCCGAAGGAAGGGTGCCAAGAGCGGTTCAATTGGAGGAAGTCGCTGGTGTGGACCCGTCCTCGCGCTTTTGTGCAGCATGTCTATTAACATACATACACGCACACAAGTGTATTCATATATGCATGTATACTTACATACCTACATACATACCTACCTACATGCCTACATACCTACCTACCTCCCTACCTACCTACATACATACGTACGTACATACATTCATACATACACACGTACACACACACGCATGCATGCATATAATGAATGCAAAACTGCATTGGCGCTTCGCGCCGATCATACACATGCATGTGTGCTTGTATAGTGTTGTTGCTTGGCAGCGTTCATCGCACTTCGCCTGTTGAGCACTGGTTGCCTCCACGCCCACCCCTCGCCCACTTCGGGACGAGTTCGAGACAATCGAACATCGAACCAGATCCTCCACATCGATGGGTTCACGCCCACCTCCCAAGCGCCTGCGGTGCGAGCGCCGAACCCATCCCTGAGATCCGAACCGCGATGTGGGAGGCAAGGATTTGGAGCAGGGGGTTTGGGCCGTCTGAAGGTCGCAGGCGCCTGCGGTGTGAGCGCCGAGCCTATTTCTGAGATCCGTACCGCGATGTGGGAGGAATGGACTTGGAGGAGGCGGGTTGGGCCGTCTGAAGGTCGCAGGCGCCTCTTTTGCCAACGGGCCAAGAAGTAAGAGTTGAGGGTCCCCACGGGCGCAGGCCAGGAATACGAATATTCCTTTTCCCTATCAAATGATAAGGGACCCCCCCCCCGGATGGGCGTCACCTAATTCGCCACCCCCCCGGACGGGCTCAAGACAACCCCGAGAATGCCTGAAATTACCGCCAAGCTGGTCCGACCGGCCCCAGAAGCCTTCCAAGACGCCCACACATCGCTCTAAGATGCCCCAGTTCGTCACAAGACGGCCCAAGAGGCCTCCAAGACGCCCCACACGGCCCCAAGACGGCCCAAGACGGTGCAAGAGACTCCCAAGACGGCCCCGGAGACCCTCAAGACGGCTCAAAGAAAGGCTCCACGACAGGATCCGACCCGACATTTCGGCCCCTCGGCTCCAGGATACCCCCCAGAAGGCTCGAACACAGCCCCACAAGGCCCCCAAGAGGCCCCAACAGGCCCCCAGGACGTCCGCGAGAAGCCATCCATGAGGCCTCCACGAACAGAGACGACGTATACAAACCCACACCCACGACAGCCCCTCGACGCCGGCGTGCCCTGAGGGCGCCAGACGCCCCCCATCCGGGCCCGAAAAAGAACAAGCAGCCGTCAACGTGAACCAAAAATTGGTTCGGCCCGTGGGGTGGCTCCGCGCCCCGGGACATGCTCTTTCCTTACGAAAACCCACACCCACGACAGCCCCTCGACGCTGGCGTGCCCGGAGGGCGCCAGACGCCCCCCATCCTGGGCCCGAAAAAGAACAAGCAGCCGTCAACGTGAACCAAAAATTGGTTCGGCCCGTCGGGTTGCTCCGCGCCCCGGGACATGCTCTTTCCTTACGAAAACCCACACCCACGACAGCCCCTCGACGCCGGCGTGCCCTGAGGGCGCCAGACGCCCCCCATCCCAGGCCCGAAAAAGAACAAGCAACCGTCAGCGTGAACCAAAAATTGGTGCGGCCCGTCGGGTGGTTCCGCGCCCTGGGACATGCTCTTTCTTTACGAAAACCCACACCCACGACAGCCCTTCGACGCCAGCGTGCCCTGAGGGCGCCAGACGCCCCCCATCTGGGCCCGAAAATGAAAAAGCAACCGTCAGCGTGAACCAAAAATTGGTTCGGCCCGTCGGGTGGCTGATCTGCGTCCGCGCACATGCTCATTCCTTACGAAAACAAACACCCTCGACAGCCCCTCGACGCCGGCGTGCCCTGAGGGCGCCAGACGCCCCCCATCCGGGCCCGAAAAAGAACAAGCAGCCGTCAACGTGAACCAAAAATTGGTTCGGCCCGTCGGGTGGCTCCACGCCCTGGGACATGCTCTTTCCTTACGAAAACCCACACCCACGACAGCCCCTCGACGCCGGCGTGCCCTGAGGGCGCCAGACGCCCCCCATCCCAGGCCCGAAAAAGAACAAGCAGCCGTCAACGTGAATCAAACATTGGTTCGGCCCGTCGGGTGGCTCCGCGCCCCGGGACATGCTCTTTCCTTACGAAAACTCACACCCACGACAGCCCCTCGACGCCGGCGTGCCCGGAGGGCGCCAGACGACCCCATCCCGGGCCCGAAAAAGAACAAGCAACCGTCGACGTGAACCAAAAATTGGTGCGGCCCGTCGGGTGGCTCCGCGCCCCGGGACATGCTCTTTCCTTACGAAAACCACACCCACGACACGACAGCCCCTCGACGCCAGCGTGCCCGGAGGGCGCCAGACGCCCCCCATCCGGGCCCGAAAAAGAAAACGCAACCGTCAGCATGAACCAAAAATTGGTTCGGCCCGTCGGGTGGCTCTGCGTCCGCGCACATGCTCATTCCTTACGAAAACAGACACACACACACACACACACACACACACACACACACGCACGCGCACGACGGCCCCTCGGCGCCAGCGTGCCCGCAGAGCGCCAGACGCTCCCATCTGGGGCCCCGAAGAAAAAAACAGCCGTCGACGTGAACCACAAATTGGTTCGGCCCGTCGGGTGGTTCTTCACTTCCAAACATGTTCACTCCTTACAAAGACACACACACACCCACGCAGCCCTGAGCCGTCGAGCTCGCGACAAACATCAAGTTTACACCCCTACGGCAATGAAAGTTCACGAGCTCGCCACATGGTGTGACCACATACCGCGGCGAGGTACCAGACCCGCGCCCCTGTGCCAAGGGTGAGGATGAGGGACAAGATGTTGTGGCGAAGCGAAGCGAGCCAACAATATCTGGTACATATATATATATATATATAAAGATATGTGTGTATATATATGACCTTCGACTGGCCCCTCCCTCTCGTGGCTTTGGTGCTGGGACTCTCGGCGGAGGAGCAGCTGCAGCTGCAGGGATGAGGTGGGCTGGGGGAGGAGGAGAAGGAGGGGGGGGGAGGCGGGCAGCCCTCCTTGGCCCGTTCCCTCCTGCGAGCCAACGCCCCTGGGCCGCTGCCGCGCTGCTTGCTTCTGGCTTCGGCTTCGGCTACCCCGGGTAGCCCGGGTAGCCGAAGCCAGAAGGTCTGCGGAGTTCGTTTCATTTTCCGTTTTGTTTCCAACGAAGTCTGCGGAGTTCGTTTCGTCGTTCGTTTTTGTTGTCTCGCTGAATGGCGGCATCGTTTCGTTTTCGTTTTGCACCCGCATTGCTTGACATGTTTCGTTTTAAGCTTTCGGGTTCGTTTTGTTTCTCGTTCTGAACGCAAAGGCGTTTTAAACATCGTTGTGGTCGGTCCCTGGCTGCCCGGCCGCCCATGCTTCGCTCCCGTTGGCGCCGAGGAGGGACACGCCTGGGCCGGCAGCAGCTTGCTTCGGGGGGCACCGGGGCGCCCCTGGCTGCCCGCGCGGCCACGACGCGCCCGCGGGCCGCTCCCTGGCTCGCTCCGGGCTGGGCGGCCCCTGCCGAGGGGGCCTCCTTGGGGCCTCCCGGGGGCGCTCCCTGGGCCGTCAGAGGGCCCTCCTGGGCCGTCAGGCGCCTTCGGGGTCTGTCTTCGGGGCTTCCCTGGGTCGTCCTGGGTCCCTCCAGGGCCCTCTTGGGCGACTCTCGGGCAGTCTTGGGGCCTCATTGGCCCGTTTCGGGCCGTCTCGGAGGCCTCTTGGGTTCACGTGGGAGCCTCTTGGGCCGTCTTGAGGCCCTCTTGGACCGTGCTGAGGCCGTCTTGGAGGCCTCTCACGCCGTCTTGGTCTGACGGAAGCCCGAAAAGGCGAGAACGTCCAAATCAGTCGAACACGCCAGGACAATTTTTCAATTTCGCATTTTCGGGCCCTCCTGGAGGTCCTCTTGGGGGGCCCCTTGGCCCATCTTGATTCCATCTTGTGCTGTCTTGCAACCAAGTTGGACCGTCTTGAGGACATTTTTTTTTGCGTTGGGCAAACTTACGCCGCTGAGCTGGATCGTGGGAAAAAAGAACGCGTGAAGCCGGCTCAGGCAAAGCTCGATCAAATTAGGCGAGGCCGGCGTGGGAGACCGAGCAGAGAGGCCAAAGAGACAAGCAAACATGATTAGGCCCATTTGCTCGAAGTATACGCTAGATTCGTGGTGCCTGGCGGCCTTCCTGGGCCGTGTTGAAATCCTTCCCGGGCATCTCGGAGGCGTCGGGGCGCCCAGGCCCGAAAGGGGGGCGAGCGCGGTCGCGGCGTCTTGCTGGGAGGGAGGGGGACCCTCTGGCAGGCTGGAAAAAAACCACGCCACGGGCAGCAGCTGACATTCTACGACGCCTCACCGTGCCAGGGTGCACGATGACGGATCGGGCTTTCGGACCTCGGCATGTGAAGACGACGCAAGCGGGAATTAGAAGGGAGGAGGAGGAGGAGGAGGAGGAGGAGGAGGAGGAGGAGGAGGAGGAGGAGGACCACGTTGGACGTAGGACGTAGAAAGAGACGGAGGAATATGAGGACGAGGAGAAGGATGGATAATGATGCTGCTGCTGATGATGCTGATGCTGCTGATGATGATGATGCTGAGGAAGAGGAGGATGATGAAAAGAAGGAGGATCACGTAGGAGGAGGAGGACGACGAGGAGGAGGACATGAAGAGCAGGAGGATCGCGTAGGAGTAGGATTTAGGAGGAGACGGAGGAATATGAGGACGAGAAGAAGGATGATGATGATGATGATGATGATGATGATGATGATGCTCATGATCATGATCATGATGATGATGCTGATGATGATGATGATGATGATGATGATGATGATGATGGTGATGGTGATGGTGATGGTGATGGCGATGATGATGCTGGTTATGATGATGATGATGATGATGGTGATGATGATGATGATGATGATGACGATTATGATGATGACGATTATGATGGTGATGATGATGCTCATGATGCTGACGATGATGATGATGATGATGATGATGATGATGATGATGATGATGATGATGATGATGATGATGCTGGTCA